TTTTTTTTTTTTATAGGCTGAAGTTCTCTGTGAAACTTTGGAGAAAAAAAAAAAAAAAAAGGATGTTGTAGTTAACTGAAATGAGAGTCGAGTGAATGCGGTTAATAGCTTTTACACTTTTTTAGTTTTATAAATAATGTTTAGTTGAGGTTGAACTGGTCGCTGAGAAATTGCACTCTGTCGTTATTCTGTTGATCCAGCTTCATACAGTTGCAGTGGTTTTAAATGGTGTTTTTTTTTTTTTTTTTTCTAATTAAAACAAATTGAAGTCATAAAATGGCATTCTTAAATGAAATTTATGAAAAGTGGAATTTATGAAAAAGTGAAAACAAGAGCAGGAACATGAATTTAGTCAGTGGACTAATAGTAACCAACTTATTTTTTAAATGAATGAGGCAAAGGTGTTGTTGGTAACAACTGAAATACTTATTCGATGGGTGGGGTAATGGTATTTGTTCATTTTTATTACCATTCCCTTATTTTTGCATACTGTTTTTATTGGTATTCTCCAAAGCCGTCTACTCTTTTTTTTTTTTCTTTTCAGTTATTCAATTATTTATTTTTCTATTCAACAATTTGAGTTATCTTATGTATAAGTCTGGGAACGAAATTTTTGATATTTATGGATGTAACATCACTATTGGCATTCTTCTGGGATTATTATGGCGTTTTTTTTTTTTTTTTTTTCTTGCCACTCTGGCAGTTTTGATCCTTTATGAATAGTGAAGCATCAAATTGCCAATGTAATCTGCATCATTTTTTCAATGTTTCTGATCGCCCTGTTTAACCTGTTGGTATTGACCTTTTTGCTGCCTTTGATTGATTATAATCTTGCGTGGCAAATACTTTTTCACGTTATAAGTTTTTACCCAATTCATATTTGTGATACATAAGGTAGGATTTTAAAAAAATCCTATATATCTTCTTCCAGAATTCTTTCTTTTTCTTTTGTCAGTAAATTATATTTCGAGTCAGATGCACTGTAAGATTTATTTTTCTATTTCTGGATACTGATAGGGTGCTTATTGAAAAAAGAAAGAAAATTTTAGTTATTTTAATTAGTCGTTTATGTTCTAGTCTTCTTACGTTCTGCCTATTCATCGTCGTTTTTTATTTTTTTTTTTTTTTTTTACTGACAGTCCGGAGTACCAAAGGGTAAAGCAATCACGTGTGAAATGGCCTAAGAAATCTTTTTAGACTAGGTTTACTACTTATAGTAATTGATTTCGTAGTTTCACTGATTGTTCTTAAGATGGTTGTGCTACGCGTAATTGCCATTTTTATGCTATTTGCATGTTTTGAGCTGGAAATTTTTTTTTTTATTCAGTCTTTAATATTCTCCTGAACAGTAAGCGCTGTCAAGAATGTTTGAGAGGGGAAGGAGAATTCGTTAGATGTTACAGATAGATACAAGGCTGGTAAAATTTGGCATGTAGATCTAGCTTTCTTCAATACCCTTTTCTTTATCAAAATTGGAGTTGTTGTAGTTCGATGGAGGTTTCTGACAA